GAAATGCCAGCATGTTCACTGATTTACTTAGTAAAATTTTCCTCCCAAGGTTGGGCCTGAGTGATTGGACACTGACTGAGGAAGGAGGGGGTTCATGCATTATGTAGAGGTGGCTGATGTGACCTTGAGCCATCACGGCCCGGGCTATATATTACAGCTGCGGCCATCCTTCCCACACCAAAGAGCCATCCGACGTATTTAACAGGGTTTTACACAACATTACTGACGCTTTGCATGAGTTGAGCTCCTTTTATTTGCTCATCCATTTCAAGAGTGGTTTAACAACTATGGATGGGAAGCCCCCCAGCCATTTGATTCACCCCAGACAGACAATTAATAATGGCAAAGCCACTGATACAGTGAGAAAGAGGAAGCCATAAACATTTATTATGTGTTCACTAGGACAGTAATAGTGTAGATGGACGTCCATGAATTCCAATGTTAATCAGGCATATATCTGTCATTTAGCGTAGACAAATATGAAATAGCCTGTCATCTGGAAACATAACCGATTGTGATGGCATGAATAGATGTAAATATTTGAAGAGCATTGCCTTGTAGAGCATGTTGGCTCATGTAGTTTGTACAGTAATTTATGTATTCTGGGAAACATTTGCTTTGACTTTGGAGAACAGATAGACCAGCATTTTCCCACAGTAGAAGGTGGTGTTGGATCAATACGCTGCATGTTAGTAAGGCTTTGGCAACCTTTAACATAACAAGCCAAATTGATTTATCTAATGCCCTCCATATTTTGAAATTACATTAGCGTGTAATCTTGTCTAGGACCCGACCATGACATTTAAAGCACACAAACACACACACGATCCTAATGGTGTGTTCATTATTTAATAAAAAAAGAATAAAAAAGATTGAGTATTTTTTCTACACTTGAAAGTACAGCTCCTCCTCTCTTTCGATGTTTAAAGAGAAATAATTATGTTGGAAATGATGGCAATGCTTGCTGATAAAGGAAATGATAAGGGAACACCATTCTCTTTTTAAAGCGCAGGGTCCATTCGAATATAATTGGTAGAGGAATTATTTATGACATTAATTGCCACATTATCGACTGCCTGTCAACTCGTGTGGCAGTTCGTCCATCTTTCTTACCGGCGCTCGCAAGCTCAGCCTAAAGCAGACTGACAAGCTAATTACACCATCTTCCCCTTCCATGACAAATGCTACTCATCTGAAACCGTGCCGGAAATAAAGCTCTTTCTCTCCCCGCCTGCCCTTTTCCCTCTCCCGTCTGCCCGGGCTAATATCTCCTCGTGTCTGTCGTAAAGGATGGAGCCGTGAGCTTTTGGAGAGCGATCTGCTCCCCGTCTCATCTCTCACTCATTCAGTTAGCATACGCTATCAGCGCACAGCTGTCAATCACACGCGGCACACGTTCTCATTTGCATTCGCAGACGTCAGTCATTCAGAGAGAATAGCCTAATAACTGATGACTACAGATGATTTCCCGTCGCTGCTTTGACGGGCATCCGTGCTGACTGTTGGGTAGTAGTGCTGTGATGCTCTGATACAGCTCTGGGCTTTTTTACAAAACTCGGGGAACTACATATACGGACCAGACATTGTACGCTGCCCAATCTTCTGCCACTTTTCTTCTTACTATTTTGTTAGCTGTTAAATATCATATACACTACTGTAGGCCTTCCACCAGATTTTCACTGTCTATATTTTTTTGCTTTACATAAAAAGTAATCCAAAATGTTGATTACATTTTTTGGGGGGATAGATAGATAGTTAGATAGATAGATAGATAGATAAACAGACAGACAGACAGACAATGTTATTACTATATAATCTAATAGTAAAACTTGTGAAACGAGAAGCCTGTATGTATAATGAATTATATAGGTATTAATAATGGACATTGTAAAGCATTATATCTTTTCATAAATAATTATAGCCAAAGTTATAATTCATTATAATATTTGCAGGTTCCTTTCATGCATTAGACTTTTTGAAGGTGTAACAATGAATAGGTAAGTATTATAACTGATATAATACACTGCATTATAAGGTATATTACAAGGCATAATTAATGGATTTAAATGCTTCTATAATACATTACATATAAAGACTTAATGTGTTGATGCAAAAATGACCACTTACGCATGCATGCCAATAATGTGGATCGTTTCAAAAATTGTCAACCACGATCATTTCAATAAAATCTCATCAAACTGTTCATGTTCATTTAGGTCCCACTCTTTCCACCTATTCTATTATATTATCACCTTTAAATGGTTTACTGTATGCATGAAATCAAGATACAATTAAATTCTAAGATTACTTGCTATTACTATGTTATAAATGTGTTATTACTGTGTTTATGAGCAAAAATGGCCACTTATGCATGTCAATAATGTGCATAGATTCAAAACTTGAAACCATGATTGTTCCGTTAGCATCTTGTCAAACTGAGATAATCTTTTCATGTTCATTTAGTTCCCACCCTTTCCATTAATTTTCTCAGGGCCCATATCCCTGTGTTCTTCTAGCGAGGAGCATTTCCTGGAGCCCTGCGAGCATGGGAGTCCCAGGTCAGAGCCTACAGGTTGCTCTTCACTTCTCACACCTTAATTAGTCCCCACCGCACGCCTCTCCCAAGCATCTCTCTCCCGAACACGTGTGTGTGTGTGTGTGTGTGTCAGCATATGTCTTCCCGCTGCACTTCCGCCCGCCTTCTAATGCTGTTTATATTTGTGGAGCTGCTTGAGATGAGGCCCTGACGAGGATGGGAACTGACACTCACCAAACTCGGTATGTCCCCAAGCCAGCTCCAGCGGCTCGGGTGCTGTCAATTCTGGCTACATCAGCGGCAGTGGCTCAATGGCAGCGTCTCTGACACATGTCACAAAGTTTTAAATGTCTGTTCTTTTCATGGGGATGGTTGGGTGAGCCAGCCAGGGAAGAGATGACATTTTGTGTGGTTAGGGGGGACTTGTTGTGGCTCCTTCTTGCTGCCTCCACCAGCTGTCAGTGCCACTTTTCTCAGAACATATCACAACACCGACAAATAAACCTTGTCATTTAGAAACGCCCGCACTAGTGACCATGCTCTCCAGCAAGCATAGTCTCATAGGGCAGAAGACACAAATGTACTGTATATACACACACACACACACAATAAACAACCCGCACACACACATTTAGTACAATATTCCCATTGCACCGTGTCCCTCTCAGACACAGAACAGACACTGAAACACACACTTGGACCAGACGCACACAACCTGTGACCCACAGTCAAACCCACACAGCCGCTGCACACCAAATCATTGCACTGGGCTATCTGTGACCTTTCCCTGCGTGCTTCACATTGCCGAGCGCTGTTCCGGGTACACATGCTTTCTTTCACATCCAAAACTACGTCTCTCATTTGCTGGGCTAATTTGGATGGCATACTTGGGAGGCCGTTTAACACACGGCAATTAAGCAAGATGAGGCCAGGCAAAATTATGCCATTAATAATTAATGTTTACAAGGAGAAAAAAAACAAAACAATAAGGTTCAGACATTTAAAAATAATACTAACAGTAATATTAATAAAAACAATTGCAGTTCCCAGCTTGTTTAAATATTGAAAGAACACTAGACTGTCATAAATTTTTTTCCAAGCTATTTTATTTATTTATTTTTTGCTTATGATAGTGGATAGCACATGGTTATTTAATCAAAATGATAATCAGAAATAATATTTCATGATTATGGTATTATATTTGTACAATTATAGTATATTACTTGCAATAATCGCAGTACATACAGTAATATACTACCCATTTTCATTATTTATATGCATATTTTTCATTTCATTACATTTATACATATTTTAATGTATTTTTTATAATTATTTTATTCAGCTATACATTTTTTTTAAAAAGTGCAAATACTGCATAGTCTGTTAAATCAATATGAAGTCATCAAAACAATATGTATAATTATTTTATGATTTAAAAAATTATTTCCAGTAGTTTTAGATGGATACTTTTACATGTCATGTCAACTACCCATATAAAAAGATGATTCATACAACAAGCAAACTAATAACAAATCACAATTCATTTAAAATCTTTAAAACAAGTCGAAATCTTTTGAATCTTCTTGTTTAAAATATAAACTTATTTTGTTTGCAGTGGATCTTTGGCTAGTTCAGTGCATGAACTCAACTTTAAATGTAGAATGTAATATTAAAAAAGAAAAGAGAAGAAAAAAAAACAGTGAGGCAAAATAAATTGGATGCACATAAAACATTCATCACCATCGCTCTACCTAATGGAGTTGATGTTTTAAATGTTTGCCCAACTTTTTGGTCACTGCTAATAAAATTTGTTTCCAAAGCACAGCAAAGGACATTATGGATTTTTTAAAACATGAAAAGAAATCATTAAAATAACGTGAATAGGTCCAAAAAAAAACGCATGAGGAAACCATCAAAAAGACTGGAGAAAGTTGTTGACTCCCCCCTCACACATACATGCATCCACCTCCTCCATTTTCACTGTCAGAGCTGCTGTCTTTCTTTGCTCTCTCCTTCCAGAGGAAGAATGAAATAAAGCAAAGCTCATTACCTCTTTCTTTCACAGCTCCTCCAGGCTCCGGCACTGAAACAACTGCCCCCGCAACACACAAACTTCACACACGACATGCACATGCACCTCGCAAACATACACATGCTGCAGAGTCAAGAGCCTGTGAGGGCCTCGCAGCTGCATTTCTGAAAGGACTCATGCTGAAAACATTCAATAAAGATTTGGATCATTAAAACATAATAGCATAAATTAAATATGAAAGCAAACTGTGTTACAAAAAAAGAAAAATAAGAGCTAATAATTTAAAAATAACATTTCTACGTATAAAAAAAAACTTGTGCCAATTGATGGTGAGCACTTGCCTGACATGCCTTTTATTTTGAAAGCTTAAAAAGGCTGATAAATTTAAACAAACACACAATTAAATTGTTTACATTTATTAGCCTTTTTAACTTTTTTTTTTTTTTTTTGGAACAAAAATGAACAAAACCCTTCAATGACTCAAACTGACATCCTGCCTTCAGTAATGTACGGAAAATGACATGGTTACAAAACCATGTAATAAGCTTTACTTTTTATGAGGGCTAAAGCGTAAACCCCCCGATCTTTCTCTTTAACTTTAGCTTTGACTTTGAGAGGAGCTCATCCTGGGCTTCCGTGCGGGCAGCCCGAAGCCTCAGGTGGGACCTTTGACCTGGGGAGAGCAGCAGTTGGAGCAGGCAATCCATCATGGAGCCGCGGCTGTCAGGACGAGTGCTCGGCCGCGTGTGTGTCTGTCACCGCGGCTGCTTAAAGGCAATCATGTCAATCTGGATGGCACTGCTCAGACGGAGCGAGAGCGATGGGAGGTGGCAGGGAAGGCACACTCAGCAGACGGCACTAGAGGGCTGGGTTTGGCTGCTTAAAATGCGAGTGGAAACATGTATATTTATAATAATATGCGCAGGATATCTTTGTAAAGCCCCCTCGTGTGTCTATCCACTGACCTGTCTGTCAGTCAGAGCTGGTCATTGCGGATGAATCGATTGCCCTCTGAGTGCTTGCCGTAGTAGACATAACGGCACTTGGTGAAAACCCCTGAAAGTAAGAGAGAAGAGCATGTCAAAATGACATTTAACTACAACGTCAATGTCAAACCGACTTCATGTGAATTCTGCACTGAAACGATCAGATGCTGTAACCCTCAAGTTGAAATATTGCGATTATAATAACACAAAAATATTAATAGCACATTAAATATTATTTTCAGTTTGATGTTTAAATACATCATCTAATTGTATGAGAAGTGATTATGGAAAAATATTCAACTTCACAACTTGCACACAACAGAAATCCACCATGATTCATGTTTCATTATGTTTATTTTATTATCATCAATACACTTTTGTTAATTGTTTATATTGATTTGATTATGTATACACACACACACACACACACACAGTCAAATCTAAATTTATTCAGACACCTTCAACATTTCACACATCACAGTTTATTCGCTATAGTTTAGAAAATGTTAATAAAATATGACAAGAACTCAGAGTTAAACTGTGTCAGAACAAATTCATCTTGATAATGTCAGATAACACTTAAGAAAAGCATGGTCAGGTCAAAGTGTCTGAATATTTTTTGGTCCCAAATTTTTATCAGTTTTACTGGTAGTCCACTGTATGAAGAATTTTTGAGTATAATATGTCACAGTTTACGTTTTTTTGCTATCCTCACTTGCATAAATGAACTATAGTGTCCTGCACCCACTAGTAAAAAAAAATATCAATAATTTTATCTGGTGTCTGAATTATTTTTGGTTTGACCATTTTTGGTATATACACACACACACACACACACACACACACACACACACACAAGCAACATTACTGTACTGTATATAATTGCTTTTTGATATACTGCAGTACTTTGTGGTAAAATAGTGATAAATATTAACTATTTCTTCCTTTATATCTTCATATTGGTTGAAAACAAGAGATATTAAAAAAGCTATTTTTAAAATTGCATTTATAATTTTTACACAGATAGATAGATAGATAGATATAATAATGTGTTATGATTACGAACATATGAACGACGAAAAATGTTACAGTTCTCTGTTACTGTTTATCCATCAGAAAGCGGTTTGTCAGTAAAGTACAAACACTGCTGCTGCAAAAAAAAAAACTCAGAATGTGTCTCCAGAGTCTGTCATTTCTCACTCAAATTTCTGGCATGAAAGGTGTGTCGGGGGAGACAGTGCATCCGTCTAAAGTCTGAGAACACCAGAGAGACAACATTTAGCCTGAGGGCATTGTCTAGACAATAACAAGCCAAGAGATTGCTTTCTTCAGAAAGAGAGCGAGAAAGAGAGAGAGAGATGAAAAGACAGTAAGGGTGAAGATCAACAGTGAGCTCATCGTACTGATTTACTGATCAACAGTGTTTGATAAGGTGAGCATTAGCTTCATTCATTGTCCAGACACTCTGACGGAGTGTGTAAGAGACACTGTGCCAGAGCATTAACACTCCTGGTGAGCGTGATTTGACCAAGTAGAACATCATTCCAATCAACCAATCAGAATTGAGAGATAACTTTTCAGGAAATGTCAGTTTTAGGCTTACAATCAGGATTAGGTGCTTCTACACCCTTGTTAATCAGCTATCATTTTCCTCTGATTTTAGGAATAAATTATGGGTCCTTAGGTTTAGGGGTAGGGATTGGGTTAAGTCTGTATTTTTGGACAGTAATGTTGATCCAGGATCAACAAAAGATGTTGATCCAGGAACATGTCTTACTTGGCAAAATCACGGCGACCAACACTCCTACAGGACAAGAACACACATGGCTGTTTTAATATGATCCACTGTGTGAAGCTGCCACTCACTGTTGTAGATCATCTCCACTCATTCAATAAAACAAATTAACGTTATGATAGAAAAGAGCAATACAGAAGGAATTTGCTTATGTCTACTTACAGTGCATCAATACAGGCCTTATCAAGTACTGCTGCAGTAAACGCTACAGTGATGTTATCACAAGAAAATACTACATTAATACTAATTTTTAATATATAACATGATAATATTTTTTTTATATATAACATGATTATGAATCATTACTATATTCCTGCATCATATTTTTTTACACAAGATACTACACAGAATTTATAAAAACAAGATATTACTATTGTATCAAAGTTTGAGTGGTTGCTAGGACAATGCTAGGGTGTAGGGTGAGATGATTGCTAGTGCATTGCTAGGGTGCTCTGGGTGGTCCCTAAGATGTTGTTAGATGGCTGCTAGGATGCTGCTAGACAGTTGCTAAGGTATTCTAAGGAGTATTTGTTGCTAGGTAGTTGGTGCTGTGGTATTCTAAGTGTTAGTAATTGGGGTGGTAGTAATTGCTAAGTAATAGATAGTAATTTCTAGGCATTTGCTAGAGTGTTCTGTGTGGTTGCTAGGGTGTTGCAAGGAAACTGCTAGTTATGTCTGGCTGGTCGCTACGTTGTTTTTAGATGGTTGCTAGGACGTTGTTAACAGTTGCTAAGGTGTTCAGAATATTTCTCAGCATGTCGCTAGGTAGCTGCTTCTTGCTATGTGGAAGCAAAGGCATTGCTAGGCAGTTGCTGGGTGGCTACTAGGGTATCGATAGGGATTTATGGGTGGACCCTAAGATGTTGTTAGGTGATTGGTAGGACGTTGTTAGTTGCTAAGATGCTCTGAATATTTGTGAACATGTTGCTAGGTACTCGGTATTATAATATTCTGGGTGGTAGTAAAGTCATTGCTAGGCAGTTGCTAGAGTGTTCTTGGTGGTTGCTAGGGTGATGCCAGGAATGTCTAATTATTAATTGTTGGTTGTTGCTAACAGTTGCTAAGGTGTTCTGAGTATTTCTTAGCATGTATCTAGGTAGTTGCTGCTATGGTATTCTGTGTAGTAGTAAAGGTATTGCTAGGCAGTTGCTAGGGCGTTGCTTGGGATGTATGGGTGGTCGCTAAGATGACGTCAGATGTGGTTTTTCTAAGTATTTGTTGCTGGTGGTTGCTAGGGAGTTCTGAGTGGTGCCTAAGTTGTTACTAGACAGTTGTAAAGGTGCTAGTGGTGTTGCTATGGTGCTCAACCAAAATAATCATCATCAAGCTGTGACTAATGCAACATTCGTGAGGATTAATAGGGCTTTCTCCTCGCGAGCTTCGAGACTGGTCATAACTCATTGAGAGTGTGACTCTGTTCACTTCTCTCATACATCAACAATATACGTCCTGGCAAAACATATGCCAGAGTTAGGAAGAAGAATGCAGCGCTTGTATTGTTTACATCTTCCTTCTGCTTGGCTGAAAATGTTAGTTGACTGAGAGGCCTATATGTGATGTGTGGAGACAGCCCAGTCTGAGTGTGTTAAAGACAGGATCGTTTTGACATGCCAGCGACAGAGACAGAGAGAGAGAAATAGAGGTGCTTGATGGATGTGGCAGACTGCAGCTAGGTGTCAGCGCTTTAGTAAATGAGGAAGGCCTATATGTGATGTGTGGAGACAGCCCAGTCTGAGTGTGTTAAAGACAGGATCGTTTTGACATGCCAGCGACTGAGAGACAGAGAGAGAGAAATAGAGGTGCTTGATGGATGTGGCAGACTGCAGCTAGGTGTCAGCGCTTTAGTAAATGAGGCAAGGACAAGTGACATTAATGCTGTCAATGATCTCCTGACAGGAAAACAGATACCATGCTCTCCACCGGTTTTAAATAGACATCAAGTGCATTAATGACAAAAAAGGGCAGGCTTCAAACAAAGCGGCTGAGTGATGGGTGAGCTGCGGCAGCGCTCTGAGCGCGCAACTAACATAATCCGAGAAGACACTGTCAGAGCAGCAGAGAGACGGGCCGTGGAATCGCACATACTGACAGTGAACAGAGATGAGGACAGAGATACTGGTGCCATATTAGTGCCAAGCATATTCCAACACCAGTCTGGATGCTAACCGAATCTGACACTTTCCTTTTCCCATTGCTTCAAAGTAGCCGCTCCTCCCCTTCCCCACCGCGAGCGATAGGGAACCAGCTCTCTCCGACGTGTCACTCCAGTCCCGCGCTCTCCTTCCTCGGCGAGTTAGTGGCAGTACATATGAGTGCCTGGAACAGTGTCTGATGGTTTAAATCTAGTGATAGAGAATGCACATGATTAATAAAGTGTGGCTCAGTTCAGTGTCTGGTGACGACTGGAGCTGTAATATTGATCTGAAGCAGCATGACTGCTTCCTCACATGTTCAAGCGCTTAAAGCAGCGGTCTGCAAATGGCACAGCTCTGGGAGATGTTCATCCTTTCCCCCTGCAGGCTGACTTCTTTAAACACACCTCTGTGGGGAGCAGAGAGGAAAACACACATGGGCCTGCCAGGGACGGGGGAGCATGTTTAGGGTGACGAGTGATATAATACAGCACACTGCAAATTTTGCACACTGCAGCCAACTTCCACAGCTGGACACTCTGCTTATTACATGAGAAAAAAAAAGGAGCGAGAGACAAAGGCAGGAGAAAAGGTAAAACGCAGAAGCAGCTATTTCTTACATAACCTGTTAGTGGAAAGCAGAGTCCAACTTGAACCCATGGGGACGGCTGATGAGCTGATAGCTAATATGAAAAAACACTGTCAGGGCCTGGCCTTCTCTTTATTCCAGACACTCACACACAGCCATTACAGTGACAGATTAAAATTTTTCGGGAAGCTAATGTTTCCATGCTGCATATTCTGGCAGGGAAAAGGTTGAAAGCAAGTTAGTGGCAGGCCAGCTTGTGTCAGCCCGAAGGCCCGGGACAAACTCAGTCAATCTAAATTTTGACTTTTGTAGCCGAGCGACACTCATTTTCCTTGCCATCCTCGCAAGTTGAGGTGATCCAAACTGTGAAGTGTGAGATGTCTGTTCACATCAGATCAGAGCCCCTCGCTCTGTGGATGGGTGTGGGGGGGCAGCGGACAGCTCTGCCAGCGCAAGTACTTGTTCTGAGGGGGTGACAGGGTTTTTGCACTCCAGCTGCTGCAGTTGCCCTGGGGATCGAGGTACCGCCGCTGGATCCCTGTATGCTCATTCTG